TCCTTGCAGCCTGGGAATGGAAAATTCCAGCAGAGACCCCCGGGGAGCTCCTGGTGAGGATCTGCAGCAGCAGGAGGTGAGTGGGAGCAGCTGGGGCCATCCCAGGACCACCCTCACCCAGGAGGGGCCAGCCCCTGATCATGGGGATCTTGTTTGGTTCCTGGATCCCAGGTCGGTGTGATCCTGGAATCCCCCGAGGCTCTCTGCATCCCAACACGTGGATGCTGGGGTGCTCCCCACTCTGTCCTCTCCCCAGGGTGCAGGATGCTGCCTCCGGCCAGGACCCTGGAGGGGATAAGGGATCCCAGCGGCGCTGGAAGGAGAAGATCTGCCAGATCCTGGGGGAAATCCAAGCCCCACTCTCCTCTCTGCTGCTGAGGTCACGGATCTTTTGGGGAAATATTCTGGAATTCTCTGGGGATGGATACAGGTCCTTTTGGAGATATTCTGGGATTTTGGGAGGATGCATATGGATCCCTTGGGTGGTTTTCGGGGACCCTTTCGGGGGTTCTGCTGGCATACTTTGGGGGATATTTTGGGATCCTTTGGGAGCTGCACACGGATCCTTTGGCTGGCTGCCCTCGGGGTCCTCTGTAGCTCCTGGGGCCATTCCCCCAGTTCCTTCTGAGGAGCTGGAGTGAGGAAATCCAAACCCTGCAGGAGAGAGGGAAGCAGAGAAAACGTTGCCTTTCCTTTTCCCTTTACCATCTCATCACTGACAGCTGGGAATCCGGGGCTTCATTGCTTGTCTGATCCAGTGGAAATAAACAGTACTTTTGAGCTGTTAAAGGGAAAGTATTCCCCTGGGAATAAGAAATTCCTCATAGAATAAGTTCATTTGGGGATCTCAAGGCGGGACAGGAAGATGGAGGGAATGCAGGATTCCCGATGGCAGCTCTGGTTGCCAATGGAAAAGAGGATGTTTCATCACATGAGACCTTTCACGTGTGATGAAAGTGGGAATTTTGAGCAGGGATGGGTTGGGGAAACTGAGGCAAGGAGGGTTTGGGAGTTTGGGGAAGCCCCATGCATGGCAGAGTTCCTCATTCCGTTTTCCCACAGGCTGTGCCACTGGCTGCTCCCCAAGCTCCTGACCCGTCTGTTCCTGAGCGTGCAGCTGCACCAGGGGCAGCTGGAGATGGTGCTGCGAGCTGCCAGGACGGTACGGAGCCCGGCCGGGCACTCCCAGCCACTGGAACGCTAGGAATTCACCCCAGGATCCCTTGCTTGCAGCCCGAGGTGCCGCTGGTGTTCCTGTGCAGCCACCAGTCCCAGGTCGATGGGCCGCTCCTGTCCTTCATCCTCCTGTCCCAAGGGGTCGGGCTGCCCAGGGTGGCAGTGAGTGCCTGGACCAGCCCTCGCCTCAGGTAAGGCAGCGCTTTGGGATGTTCCCAGAGGATCCAAGGGGATTCAGTGATTGCCCACGGTGTCCTTCCCTTGCCAGATCCCTGCTCCAACGCCTGGGAGGGATTTTCCTGCCTTCCTGGAGTGAGCTGGATGAGGGGCTCCCAGGGGCTGTTCTAGATGCGGTAGGTGCAGTTTGAGCTGAAAAATCCCTATGGAGTGCTCGGAGAAGTGCTGGCAGCTCCCACTATTCCCAGTCTCTCCCCAGTATGTCCAGGAGGTGCTGCGGAGTCGCCAGCCCCTTGTCCTGTTCCTGGAGGAGCCCTCGGCTTCCCTGCGGCTGGCAGACCCTGCCCGGCACTGGCTGCTCCGCGTGCTCCGGGCGCTGCGGGATGGAGCTGTGCCCGACATCCTCATCGTCCCGGTGGGAATCGCCTATGACGTGGCTCCTGGCACACTGGAGCAGGATGGAGAGGTGAGAGGAGCTCGGGGGGGGTCACTAGTGCTCCCCTAAATCGCTGGGACTGTCACTGGCAATCTGTGTTCCCCAAAATCTCTAGGAAGCACTGTTTCCCTCAATCTCTGGGAAGATTTCTAGGGAGAGACATCGCCCCAGATCTCTGAGGATCTCTCACTCCCTGGGGAGTGGCATCCCCCCAAACCTGCCATGAATCCCTCAATGCTATCTCTTGGCAGCCCCCTCAGCCCCTTGGGATCGGCACATGTCTCTGGGCAGCATTCCAGGCTCTGCGCTGGCACCGTGGATGTGCCCAGGTGGATTTCTCTCAGCCTTTCTCCTTACGGGTACGGCAGCTGGGGCTCCCCCTGGATCCATCCCAGCACTGGGAAACTATTCCTGGGATGTTGGTGGGGTTTGAGGTGTCTGGGGGGATCGAGTGAATCCATCCTGAGGAAGTCTGCACTCCTCCCAGCCCTGGGGATCCAGGGATCAAGTGAACTCGTGGTTCTGAGGGGTGTGAGCACCCATAGGTTCCTTCATCCTCATTCCCAGGAATTTGTGGACAACAACCTCGTCAGGCCAGTTCTCACAGGGAATCGTCCAGAGCAGCTGCTGCTTCCCACCATCCTGGGCAGACGGTGAGGAGCCGAGCCCCAGGCAGTGTTTCCCCTTGGATCTCTGCTTCTGGCTTCTCACCCTTCTCATCCTGACTTCCCAGCCCGCTGGATGTTGAGAGTGTGGGGACTTTGAGTCCCAGTTTGGGGACTGAAGAGGAGATTTTGGTGACGGCGCTGGGGCTGCACGCACTGAGTGGTGAGGGAGGTCCCTGCATCCCTTGGGATGGCATTCCCTGCTCGGGAATGGGGTGGAGGCTAATTCCCCCGGATAACAAATCCCTCTCTCCCACTGCAGATTCCAGTGCCTGTTCCGCCATCATGGCTGTGGGAATCACTGCGGCACTGCTGCTCCACAGGCATCGGGAGGTGGGATGAGTTTTCCATCTTTCCCTTCCCTCAGAACAGCATTCCCAGCAGGACTCCCCCCTCCCCATAAGGCCCAGTGGGAATCACCCTTCTTTCCCTGGGAGCAGCATTCCAATAGTAATCACCCTCCTTTAACAGGAAGTAGTAGTCCTAATGGGAATCACTCCTTCTCTTCTCAGAGCAGCATTCCCAGTGGGAAGCCCCCTCTTTGCCTCAGAGCAGCACTCCCAGCAGAATCCCCCTCTGTTCCCCCAGGTTGTGCTGCTGCCCCAGCTGATGTGGGATTTCTCAGGGCTGCTGGAGCAGCTCCTGCTGCGAGGCCGGGCTGTGGGGTTCTCAGGGCAGCTGCGGGCACTGGTGGGGCACAGCCTGCAGCAGCTGCAGCTCCCGCTGGCCCAGCACCCGCTGGGTCCCCCCAGAACTGCTCTGGGGCCCCTCAAGGCCTTGGCCCAGGCACGGCTGAGGCAGCTGGCGGGGAGTGTCCAGCACCACCTGGCTGGGGAGGCTGTGGGCGGTGAGTGTGGACATCAGGGAGTGGGGATGGGGTGACACTGCTGGTACCAGGGAGCAGGGATGCCGTAGCAATCGGTGACACCAGGGCTTAGAGGCACTGGGGGAATTGGTGACACCAAGAATGGGTGATGGCTGCAGTTTGGAGAACACCAGGGATGTTGTTTATATTGTGGGGGTCAATGACATTGGGATTTGGGACACCAGGGACCAGTGATCCCTGGAGATTGGTGGTATTGGGAGATTCACTGTCATCCAGGGTAAGTGGCACTGGGGAAGTTGGGGAGGCAGGGGATTATTGTCACTGGGGAATGGGGATGGGGGAAATTGGGGATGGCAGAGGTCAGGGACACTGGGGGAGTTGGGGACACTGGGGACCGGGGATGCTGGGGTATTTGGTGACTCTAGGACTGGTGACACCCCTGTCCCGTCAGCCTGTGCCATCCGTGCCCTGCTGCTGGAGGTGCTGCCAATCCTGGGGCCCCCCTCCAACCTCACCAGGATTGTGCTGAGCCGGGACGAGCTGCTCCGCAAGATCCTGGAGCTGCTGCAGCTGCTGCCCCCAACCCTACTGGGGCTCCAGGTGGGGACACAGAGGTAGTCTGACCTCCCCAGCACTGCTGGGGTTCCAGCTGGCGACACGGGGGTGGCCTGTTACCCCTTTCCTGTGTCCCCAGCCCTGCCAGCCTCCTGACTGCCACAGCCTGGACATCCTGGACAAGCTCATTCTTGGGGGACTGCTGGAGGAGGAGGAGGTGGGTGATACCTCAAGACCTGTCCTGGGGCACAGGGACAGGGTGGCTTCGAGGTGAGGTGACACCCTGTTGTTTCCATAGCCAGAGAGTGAGCGCTGGGGTTGTGATGTGGCTCCCCGGCGCTTCTTGTGGGGACGTTCCTTGGGATCCTTCTCTGATGACAGCGACAGTGACAGCGAGCACGGGGTCCCCAAGCAGTGCTACAAGGTACTGGGGGGTTCCCCCAATGCCCCCTGCGCTGGAGGAAGGATGGTCTCCCTCAAATCTGGCCATGTATCCCCTACAGCTCAGCGAGCCCCAGGGCTTCCCTGGCTTCCTCCTCTTCCTCTGCCGCCTCCTGAGCCCCATCCTGCAGACCTACAGTCGGGCTGTGGAGTTCCTGGAGCAACCCCCCTGGCCCCAGCCCGGTAGGATCCCCCCAAAGTGGGGAACCCCTTGGGACTGCCTGGGGCCACTGAGGCAGGGCTGCAGCCCCCAGGAGGTGGAGTCTGACACCACTCCCCATTGCAGAGGCAGACTATGTGGAGGCACTGCTGGAATTTCTGGCCGAGGATGAGGATGGTGAGTCAAGGTTGGAGGGGTCTTGCTTTTTAGGAGTCAGTGACCCCGGAGCCAGGCTAAGAGTTGTTGAGAGTGGCATTTGGGGGTTCCCTCGGGATCTCTCTCCCCACAGGGTATCGCAACAGGAGCCTGGCCCTGAGCTCCGTGCAGAGTTTCAAGGACATGGGGGTAAGCACAGCTCTCCCAGCCCCCCACATTTTGCTGTCCCCTCTCTCCCCTCCTGACCTCCCTGTGTCCCCCTAGGTGCTGGAGGTGCTGCAGACCCCCACCGGACCCCTCCTGCAGCTCTCCCAGCCTTTCCAGTCTGCTTCCAACCGGGAGAAGCTGGGAGCCTTTATCCAGCAGTTCACCCAGCTGTAGTCCCCCCGATCCATAAAGAGGGCACAGTGAACCAATGGCTCGTTGGTTTATTGACCCCGTGAGGGGGAGGTGGGATTTGAGGCATCTCTCCACTGTCAGACCACCCGATTGCAGATGGTGCCCAGCTCCTCAATCTCACACTTCACCTCATCACCGCGCTGCAAGGGGGGACATGGTGGCATCTGTCCCCAGTGGCGTCCACTGTGTCCCCAGTCACACCCCAGTGCCACCTGAGCCCCCATTTCCCCTCACCTTAAGGAAAACGGGTGGTTTCCGAAAGACCCCTACTCCCGCAGGTGTTCCTGTCAGCAGGATGTCCCCAGGGACCAGTGTCACGAACCTGGGGGCACATGAGGTGTCACCCATGGCTCCCTGGGCTTTGGAGGTCCCCAGCCTCTCCCATTCCTACCGGGACACCCAGGCGACAAGGGCAGGCACCCTAAAGATGAGGTGGCGGGTGTTGCTGTCCTGCATCCGGTGCCCATTCACACTGCAGCGGATCCACAGGTTGTGGACATCTGTGGGAGGTGACATGGGGGGACAAGGCCACCGTGACAGTGCCACTGTGACCCCACCTTGGGGAAAAACATGGAGGAATGGGGAACATGGGGCTGTGATGGCACCAGTGGCAGACGAGAGTCACCATCCCATCCCTTATCTTGTTCTCATCCCATCTGTGTCCTGTCCCACCTGCCACGGCCTCCCTGGTGACAATGGCCGGTCCCAGGGGACAGAAGGTATCAAAGGTTTTCCCCAGCAACCACTGCCGCCCGTTGCGCCGCATCTGCCAGTCCCGGGCGCTCACATCGTTGGCCACCGTGAAGCCCAGTACGTGCTCCAGTGCCGCCGCTTCCTGGGGACAGCGGGGACCCGCTTACAGGGGGATACTCCCACGTACCCCCCGCAGTGGGACGAGGTCTGGGGGTACCTCAATGTGTCGCCCCCTCTTCCCGATGACAGCAGCCAACTCCACCTCCCAGTCCAGCTCCTGTGGGGACAGAAGGGGGGCTGGGAGGGCCATTCTGTGGGGGTTGTGGGAGTGGGTACCAGGCTACCCACACTGGTGTCCTGGGGGTGCACGATGTCATCAAAGGGCCCGGTGATGGCACTGGGGAACTTGCTGAAGATGAGGGGCTCCTTGGGGACCTTCACAGCCTGCTCCTGGCAATGGTCGTGGTAGTTGAGCCCTACACAGATCACCTTCTCGGGGTCTCCCACAGGTGCCAGCAGCTGAGCAGTCGCCCGGGGCACCCGGTGCTGCCCTGACTCCAATGCACTGTGGGGACAGATCCACCCTCGGGATTACCCACAATTTGGGGAACCCGTTTCTCAGGGGACATACTTTTGGGGGGGGTCATTCAGAAGGGTCAGCTATATTTTAAGGATTCTCCTTTTGGGGATGTCCACAGTTGAGAAGACCCCCTTGTGGGGGTCAGCCACTCTTGGAGGTCAGACATCATTGGGGGGTCACCCATGATTTGGAGTGGCCACCTTTTTGGGAGACCAACTGTTAGGGGTAACCACCTTGGGGTCATCCAAAGCAGCATGCAGATTTGGATGAGTCACTCCTATGGGGATCCATGAGGATACCTCCCCTTTTGGGGTTCCCTCTTCTTTTGGAGGACCTACCGCTGGGGGGGAGCCGGCTTTTGCAGCACCCACGTTTGGGACCTACCCTTGGCCTCACTCACCTCTGGGCGAGCGCCAGCCCGCGGGGGCCGATCTCCAGGAACTCCCGCATCGATCGGGGCAGCTCCGGCTCCGCCGCGTTCAGATCCACCAGGTCCCCCCCGGGCGCCTCCTCCAGCCCGAGCCGGGGCCCCCCGCCCGCGGCCTTCCGGAACCGCAGCAGCCGCAGCGCCCCGCGCATCCCCTGCGGCACCGCGGCTCGGGATCCCGCCGGAGGGGGCCCGGGACAGCGGATGAATCCTGGCACCCAGGGGCTCCCTCCCCTCGATCCCACCTGGCCCCGGCCCCGGAGGATCCCACTCAACCCCAGGGCTCAAAGGTCGCTCCCCCAATCCCACATGGCCGTGATCCCCAGAATCCCCCCAGTGCGAGGGCATGCCCTCCTGATCCCGCACCGCTCCGATCCCCGAGGACATTACCCGCACTCCGATTCCGCTCAGCCTAATCCTAGGGATTCCCCCGATCCTGCACAAACCCAGACCCGGGGGATTCTCCCCATTTCTCGCCCACTCAGTCCGAGCCCAAGGAATGCCCCGGTTCCGTGAGATTCTCCACCGACCTCACATTCCCCCCACCCCGAGTTCCGCACAGTCCCGGTCCCGCACAACTCCGACCCCAGAGAGCCTCACATTTATCCCACACAGCCCCGATCCCGAGAATGCCCCCGATCCAAGGGATATCCCCCCAGTCCCACAGAACCCCGATCCAGGGGGTTCTCCCCGTTTCAAGGGACCTCCCCCAGTCCCACTGAGCCCCGATCCGGAGGGTTCTCCCTGTTCCCAGGGTCCCCCCCCCCCCATCCCGGGGTCCCGGGTGTCTCNCCCGGGGTCCCGGGTGTCTCACACACCGCTGTTCCCCTGCTCCGCTAGGGGGCGCTGCGGGCCCCGGCACCACTCAAGACAAGTATTACGTCACGTGCCGCCCCCGCTCGGCTGAAGGTCGCCACGTCGAGACCCCGCCCCCTCCGGGCCGTCCAATGGGAGTGCGCAGGGGCGGAGCCAAGCAGGAACGAGAGCGAATGAGCGGATAGGGCTGAGGGGCGGGGCCGCGCGACCAGGAAGGGAAATGAGAGAGGGACTGCGACCGGAATCAGGAGAGGCACGGGAGTTGAGACTGCTAGCCGGACAAGGACAGGCACTGGAAGACGCACGGGGAATAGGATTGGGAGCGGGACAAGGGCAGGGACAGAGAGCAGGACAGGGACCGGGACACTGCGCGTCTCTCACATCCCTCGTGACTCCACTTCACCCCCTAAATCGTCACTATTTGGTTTATTTATAAAATCCCCCCCTCTCCACGCTGCTGGGGGAGGAGGGGCTGTGCTTTTGTTTGGTGTTTGAGGGTTCCATTTCATGGCCGCAATATGGAGACTCCCACCCAGAGAGCCCCCACATCCTGGAGGGTCCTATCTCTGAGGGTTCTCAGGTCCCAGGCAGTCCCTGTGTCCCAGGGCTCCCACCCTGGGGACCCTGGGGTTGGGCTTGTGCTGTGTCAAGTCCCTGCACCGCCAAGGGGGGGTCCGTGTCGAGGGGAGGCTCAGTCCCCCAAAACGGGTCTGTCTGGCAGGTGGTAGAGCCACACTCCGGGAGGCTCTGGTGACAACGTCGTCCTTGAAATATCCCGTCTCTGGGAGCCACATGCTAGATTTCTTCTGCCTTTGAAATTCTTGTTTGTCTGAAACACTAGAAAAACTCCGGGGGGTGGGCAGGATCTAGAGCACGTTATGGAAGATCTGCATGGAGCTCATTATGTCCTTGTCCTGGGGGGGGGAGAGATCAGAGACCCCATGTCCCCCTCCTGACCCCCCCGCCAGCTCTCCTTTTCTTGTCACCCTTTTGTCATCTCCCTCCTGTTCCCCTCATCTGCTCCCTCTCGTCCCCACCCCCTGTGCCCCGCATCCCACACTTCCCATCATAATCCTCCTGTCTCCCCCCCATCCCTCTCCCAGCCCCAACTCCTGTGCCTCTCCTGTCCCACTCCTATCCCTCCCGGGGTGACCCCTTTGTCCTCCCCTCTCCTGATGTCCCCAGCACGTCATTTTGGGACAGAACAAGCAGGAAAAGGATGGTGCCCCCAAAAGCCCCTCACCTCCTGGCACGTGGCCAGGAACTCCTCGAAAGTCACCACGCCGTCCCTGTTCCTGTCCATCTTCTGCAAGGGAGTGGCCAGGGCTAAGTGGGGCCACCCCTGGCCGCAGAGTGGCCCCGGGAGGTGACAGTGGAAACTGTCTCACCTGGAAGAACAGCTCCACGTGCTGGGCCGGCGCGCTGGCCCCTAGGGCGGGCTCGGTGCAGTGGCCCATCATGGCATAGATAGATTTCATGATCTCCAGCATGTCCTGGGGGACACAGGGCGCTGGCAGGTCCCCGTCTGGGTGTCCCCACCCCACCAGCCCCCCAGTGTTCCCTACTGTCACCTCCTTGGTAACGTAGCCGTCCTTATTCACGTCGTAGAGGTCAAACGTCCACTTCAGCTTCTGCTGCTCCGTCCCCCGCAGCAGCACCGAGAGTCCCACCGCGAAATCCTGCCGGAAGGGTCGTGGCAGTGAGCGGGGAGGGACCCTCACCCCCTGCCCCTCCCTTCAGCGGCCACATCGATCCCGGGGCGCCCGAGGGATTTCATTCCCTATTGATCCTGTTATTTTTACCCCCCGCCGCCGCAGCGCCCGGCACCCGAGAGAGAGAGAGTTTGGCCACAGCCTGGGAGGGGGAAGAGGAGGGGGAAGATGTGATGAATCACGGTGCTGGCACAGCCTTTCCCACCAGGAATTCCCACCTGGAAGCAGAGAGCCCCGTTGCGGTCGGCGTCGAAGGCGTCGAACAAGAAATGGGCGTAGGAGCTGGCGTCTGCAGGGGAAGGGGGACGGTGACTCCCCCAGAACCAGGGTTGGGAGTTTTCCCGGATGGGCCCCCCCAGACCCTCCTGCCGGGTTTGGGGACTCCCCACTCACCGCCTTGAGGGAAGAACCGCGAGTAGATTAGTGTGAAGGTTTCCTCATCCACGAGGCCGCTGGGACATTCCTGGGAAGGGGAGCGGCGCCGGTGATCCCGAGGAAAGTGGGGACTCACGGAATTGGGGGACTGGGGCGACGGACCCCCAGACTCACGTTCTTGAAGCCACGATAGAGGGATTGAAGCTCCGTCTTGGTGAACTTGGTCCGAGCCAGCAGCTGCTCCAGCCCCTCGGGTTGGTGCCGGATGGTCGGGAGCTCCACGTCGGCATCGCCGCTGTCTGCCAGGAGAGACCCTCGGGCAAAACCCTCCCTTAGGAACACCACTCCACCCCTAAACCCAACCCCACCCCCCTAAACCCACCGCCCAGCGCCTCGGCGGACCCCGGATCTCCCTCGGGACCCTGGAACACCGCGGGTGTTGCATCCCTAGGGGTTTCCCACATTCCCAAGGCGCAGAAGATTCCCGAGCCGCCTCTTAGCCACTGCTACTCTCGCTCGGCCCAGCAGAAGGTAATTAATAAATGATGGCTCATTAATAATTTCAGTCTGGGAAGCCCCTGTGGAGCCGCTCAGCACAGGGGGGTGTCAGCAATTTTGGGATGGGGTTGGGAGCCCGAAAAATTCCCAGGCGCTGTCAGAGGGGGAAGAACCCTCAGCACCGGCTGTGAGGGGTCTCAGGGGACTTGGGGGGGAGATTGGGGGTCCCATCTCAGGCAGTGAGGGAGTGGAGGACCCTCATGAAGGGGACTTCTGAGTGGAGGTTCAGGGGCTGATGCAGGACTTGGGGCTCCCTGTGTCCCATCTCAGGCGGTTTTGGGGTTCACTGTGGAGTCGAGGCTCCCCAGCACCCCACCTCAGGGAGCTTGTTGGTGGTCAGCACCATCTTATAGCCCTCCCGGTCCAACTTGGGAAGATTTGGGGGACCCTCGGGTCCCCGTTATCCGCTCTTGGGGGTTAGCAGGGCACGGGAGCCCTGGAAGCGGGGGAGTTCTCTGGGTTGAGAGTCTCCACCCCTCCGGGGGTTTGGGGGACCGCTGGCAGCGCAGCCCCTCAGAAGGCTGGGCCATGGCGCTGCGGGAGGGGGGTTGGGGAGCCTACCCCCTCCCTTCACATTCCCAAATCCTCCCAAAGCTTTCACCTCAAACCCTCCCGAGGGGGAACCCCAAAACCAGCCGGTTATACTCCACAGGGGCTAATTAGAGGCTAACAGGTCATTTAGTGCCAGAGGAGAGAAGGGGATACGCCTGAATGGGGGGGGGGATGAGAATTAATTTAATTAAATAATTTGGATTAATTAAGGTGGGGGGGTACCTTCTACAGAGATGGGCTCCAGGATGCCAAACTGCTTGAGGACGGCGATGAAGAGAAGGATGACCACGGCCACGGCGCACAGCTCCATGCCCTGGATGCCCATGGCCCCCGGGGGGTTTTGGGGGCTCCCCCCCCAAAGCCTGCGGGGGTGCTGGCGCTGGGTGCTGCGGGAGCGCGGGGCGGGTGCTGCAGCCCGTGTCCGGCTGTCCTGCCCTCATCCTCCTCCTCCTCCTCCTCCCTTGGCACGCGCCCACCCCCTGCCCCCCCCCGGCGCTGCTTTCCCATATTTTATTTTCAGTTTCCCAAGGAAAGTTGAGGGTTGAGGGGACGCAGGGGCGCTACCCCCGCTCTCCGCAGCACCCTTGGGTCCTGAGCTCGCAGCTGGGGGGAGGTCAAACCAGAGCGGGCATCAGAATTGGGTGAAAAAAAGGTTGTTTTGTCCCCCCGCCACCGTTGGGATCGATGGGATCGATAGGGATGAGTAAGCAGTGAGGGGAGGGGAAACTGAGGCAGGGAAGGCAGGGGGGCTGTCCCTGTTCTCCAGGGCTGCCCCTACCCCTCTGTGGGTGTCCCATTGTCCTGGGAACATAGGCCCTGTCCCCTGAGGACTACCCCTGTGCCCCTAGGGGTGTCAGCTCCCCACATGGCCGTCTGTACGCATCGCCGCAGGGATGGCACTCCGCAGTGTCCTGGGCTGGCCTTGTCCCCAAGTCTCCAGGGATATGGTCCCTGTTACCTCGGGCCGTTGTGTCCCCAAGGCCCCAGGAGCATCTCTCTCCATCCCTCCAGGGGTGTCCAATCCTTATGGTGCTAGGGACATCATCCTTGTCCCCCATGGAGTGTCCCCGCCATCTCCAGGCTATCCCCGGCTCCCCTCCAGTCCCAAGGTGTCCCATCCCCATCACCCCCGGGACAGTGTCCCTGTCCTCCAGGCGGTTGTCCCTGTTCCCACGAGGGTCCCATCACCCATCCAAAATCTCAGTCCCCCCCCGCCCACGGTGACCGGCGGGGTCATCCCATGGGGGCGGGGTTATAATGGGGTGGGGGCACACTGGGCGGGGCTCTGTGGATGTGGGCGTGGCAGAGGGCGGAGCTCCGGTCAGTGGCGCGCGGTTTCCTCGCGAGGCCCCATCGGCCCGCTGACGTCACTTCCGCTTCCGCTCGTGCCGGAAGTGCCACCACTCTTGCCGCCATGGCCTCAAGGTTACTGCGGGTGAGCGCGGCCCTGCGGCTTCTGCCCGCGGCGTCCGCCCGCGCCGTGCCCGTCCGCCATCTCGGCGTGCCCGGTGAGCGGGGACCGGGGAAGCGGGGGAACGGGGGGAGAGCGGGGGAGGAACGAGCGGGACCGGGGGGAGGCCGGGGCGGGATGTCTGCACCCCTAGTGTGACGGCGCCCCGCAGGGAACCTGGCCAGCGATGAGGAACAGGCGACCGGGTTGGAGCGGAAGGTGATGGAGGCCATGAATAAGGGTCTGGTGAGTGCCGGAGATTAGGGGACCTCAGGAGGACCACGTGGGGGCTCGGGATGGGCTATGGAGAGTGGGAATATTTCTGGGGGTATCTGGATGGGGTTGCCTCTGGGGGACCCCCGCGGTTTCTCGAGGGATGACAGGGGGTTCTGGGGTGGTTTCAGGGTTTGACTTTCCTTGGAGGGGCAGAGTTTGGTGGATGGGTGTTTGGGGAGTCTCAGGGTCTTTTGGGGGGACTGAGGGCGTGGCGAGGAGTTCGGGGTCATTTCAGGGTTCTGGTGTACTTGATGGAGGATCCCAGGGAGTTTGGGGAGTGCTCGGGTGGCATCGTCTGGAGGGGATGTTTCAGGGTTTTGGTGTCCTTGGAGGGTTGCGGGGTCTAGGGTTGGGGAATTCTTGGGAGGGTCCCTAGGGTGGCATGATCAGTTTGGGGTTCTCAGGGACAGGCTCCCCTCAGGGGATGTTGTGGGTGTGAGGGATGGAGGGGTGGCTGGGCGTTCTTGGCTGCTCATATTCCGGGGCTATCCCTGCTTCCCCCTTGCCACAGGATCCGTACAGCATGTTCCGGCCCAAGCGCTACATGGGCACCAAGGAGGACCCAAACCTCGTGCCCTCCATCACCAACAAGCGCATCGTGGGCTGCGTCTGTGAGTGCCCCCCATCTCTGCCCTTGTGTCTGTCCTGCCTCTGTGTCTGTGTATCCATCCTTGCACCCATTCCTGTCCATGGTGTTCGTGTGTCCATTCCTGTCCCTTGGCTATTTGTCCATTCCTGGATCTATCCCCTTCTGTCCTTCTGTTCTGTCCCACAGAGTCCATGTCCCCTCTTCCTCTCCTCCCTGTCCCCTGTCCCATGCTGTCCCTCTACCTCTGTCCCTGTTCCCTGTCCCTCACCCACGCTGTCCCTGTCCCCCCAGGTGAGGAGGACAACAGCTACGTGGTTTGGTTCTGGCTGCACAAGGGCGAGGCCCAGCGCTGCCCCTCCTGTGGTGCCCACTACAAACTGATCCCCCATGAGCTGCCCCACTGAGGGGGCTGCAGGACTCTCCACTCTCACCTCCCCGGGATCCTGGGGCCCTGTTGAAACCCCCTGAGTCACCCCAGATAAAGAGGTTATGTGGACAGCCTGACTCTGTCTATGCTGGGGAATCAGTGGTTGGGGGGGGGAACCAGGCCATGGGTGTCCCCATGAATTGGGAGGGAACATGGGGGTCTGAGGGGGACACCATAGCCTAGTGGTTGGGGTGGGGGACCCCATTTCATTGGCCCTCTGTTCTGTGATTGGGGGAGCCCTGGGGAAAGCCTACTGGATCCTGTTGCTGCTTTATCCCCTTTGGGCTTCCTTGCCCACCATGTGGGATGCCCCATTCCAAAAGAAGCCTGTGAGCACTGAGGGGGCGTTGGGTTGATCCCACAGCCTTCCAGACAGATCACCACCCCCCACGCACACAGGGTACCTCCCTCAGTGCCCTGCTGGGGGCCTGTTTGTCCCTTTGGACATGATCTTGCCTGTCAAGTGGGTGACAACCCTGTAGGCAGGAGCCTCTTCCTGCTGCTGGAGGTTCCCAGAGTGCTGGTCCTGCCAGGCACCTGTGGCTCCATCTTCCTCTGAGAGGACTCAGAAGGCCTCACCTGATGCAAGGAGATCCCCAGATGTTTCCAGGAGATCATCATGAGACCTCAGGAAGTCCCTGAAGGTTCCCACCTGATCCCAAGCAGCCACAGGAGATCCTCACGGGGCCACAGGAGGTCCCCAGAGGTTCCCACGCGATCTTGGGAAGTCCCTGTTGGTTCCCATAAGATCCCCAGTGACCCTGCATGGTCCCAGGTGTCCCTTAGGGGCTGCCACATCCCTCCCACAGGAGGACTTCCCTTCGGCAGGTCATCCTATAGTGGGAAGGGAGGATGAGTTCTGCCCTCCAGGCTCTGCTCAGGGGTCTGGGCAGGCCCAGGGAGGACCTGGAGGTTGCCCGTTGGAAGTGTGGTCGCAGTGCTACTGGCTAGCTGTGATGTCATTGATGATGTCATGCTGACTGCCCATGGCATCATGCAATGCTGGCTGGAGGGGGCGGAGCTGTGGGCCTCACTGGCCAATGGGGACTGTGCTAATGGTGAGTGACAGCTGGGGGAGGTGAGGCTTTGGACCTCATGGACTAGTGAAGGCTGCGGGAGGCTGTGACAGCAGGGAAGGGCAGGATTATGCTCAATGACGAGGGCAAGGGAAGGGCGGGGCTGGGGCGTGGCTTCAGCGACCAATAGCAGCTGCCAGTGCCCGTAACTGACAGCCGGCAGGGGCTCTGCCGTGGGGAGGAGGTGCGGTCCAGTGCTCGTGGGGGCGGAACGCTGGGCCTAATTGACCAATAGGAGCCAGTCGTGGCTGTGACTGACAGCCAGGCAGCCGAACTCTGTGCTCAAAGGAGGTGGCTGCGGGGAGGACCCAGCGACCAATGGGCGGCATAGTGCTGGTGACTGACAGCTGAGGGCGGGACTCGGAACGACGTAATTGGGGGAGGAGCTTCGCCGGGGGCGCGCGGGGACGCGGTGGGCGGGGCCCCGGCGCACGTGACGGCGGCGGTGCGGCGGTGACGTCAGCGGTGTCGCAGCGGGACCGGAAGCGGGCGGTGCGCGGGGCGGGCGGACAAGATGGCGGACGGGGACAGCGGCAGCGAGCGCGGTGGCGGCGGCGGGTTCGGGACCGCCCGCGGCGGGGCGGGGGGGGCCGGCCCGGCCGCGGGGCCCGGAGGCGGCGGCGCGGCTGGCCCCGAGCAGGAGACGCAGGAGTTGGCGTCCAAGCGGCTGGACATCCAGAACAAGCGCTTCTATCTGGACGTGAAGCAGAACGCCAAGGGCCGCTTCCTCAAGATCGCCGAGGTTGGCGCGGGCGGCTCCAAGAGCCGCCTCACGCTCTCCATGGCCGTGGCCGCTGAGTTCCGCGACTACCTGGGCGACTTCATCGAGCACTACGCGCAGCTGGGCCCGTCCAGCCCCGAGCAGCTGGCTCAGGCCGCGGGGCCGCCGGGCGAGGACGGCGCCGGGCCCCGCCGCGCCCTCAAGAGCGAGTTCCTGGTGCGGGAGAACCGCAAGTACTACCTGGACCTGAAGGAGAACCAGCGTGGGCGCTTCCTGCGCATCCGCCAGACCGTGAACCGCGGCCCCGGCGGCCCGGGGGGGTTCGCGGGAGGCCCCCCCGGGCTGCAGAGCGGCCAGACCATCGCGCTGCCCGCCCAGGGCCTCATCGAGTTCCGCGACGCTCTGGCCAAGCTCATCGACGATTACGGCGGCGAGGAGGACGAGCTGGGCGGCCCCGGCGGCGGCGGCCCGGGCGGTGGGGGGCTCTACGGGGAGCTGCCTGAGGGCACGTCCATCACCGTGGACTCCAAGCGCTTCTTTTTCGACGTGGGCTGCAACAAGTACGGGGTGTTCCTGCGGGTCAGCGAGGTGAAGCCGTCCTACCGCAACGCCATCACCGTCCCCTACAAGGCCTGGGCCAAGTTCGGCGGCGCCTTCTGCCGCTACGCCGAGGAGATGCGCGACATCCAGGAGCGCCAGCGGGACAAGCTCTACGACCGGCGCGCCGGCCCGCCGGGACCCGGCAGCGGCAGTGGCGCCGGTGACGACTCCGACGGCGACGATGTG